GGTGGAATATTTGAATGCGTTTGTGAAATATCATTATTTGATGAACATTCATTTGAACATGAATTTTTTTTTCAAATTTCTCAATCATTTCCATTCTTGAAAAAATTAACTTTAATTAATCAAAAACCACAAAATAATAAACAATTAAGAAAATCAAAAAGTCAAAATCAAAATTTATCAATCATTCAATATCCTTATCTTTTGAAACTTAATATTTCTAAAGCTCACAAAGATTATCACGAACAATTTTTATTTGATAACAAAACATGTTTACCAAATAATGTTCGTGTTAGTATGAATTATCGACTAGTGAAAAAAGTGACACGCAATTTTCGAAGAATTACAACACGAAGTAATTGTGCGAAAATGAATTTTGTAATTTTTATCCAGAAATCAAAGTTTCCTGATCATTTACAAGACTATTTTCCTTATGCGCAAATTTCTTGAATATTGTCAATCATTATTAAAATAAAATATGAACAGAAATAGATTGATTTACATACAACAATTATATTCATTCTTATTCTAAATTATGTCAATATGCTTATGTTAACTTGTAAGCATTTATCTTCTTGTAATGTTAATACCTATGGAAAACAAATAAAGATCAATAAAATGTTTGATTTGTTTTTTCTTTACTTGTTTTTTTAATGTTTTAATTTCTTCTCGTTGACGTTTATCTGGATGATCACGTAATTGTTGTCGATGTTGTTCAAATAAACGTTTTTCATGTTTTTATTTTTTTATTTCTTCTTCTTTTATTTGATCAAATTCTTCCATTTCTTTTTGTTTAGTTTTTTCAAATTCATCACGATTTCGTTTTAGTTTTTTTATAGCTAAATTACGTTCATTACAAAGAGATTGTAATTTAGCATTTTCTTTTTCAAAAAGTTTGATTTGTTTTTCAAGTTCTTTAGCTTTTTCATGAACTAAACGACTATAATCTTGATTAGGTTCAGTTATAGGTAATGGAGGTGGAGGAGGAGAAGGAGCAGGAGCAAGTGCTGATGCTGGTACTGTATGTCGTAAGCCTGGAAATGTATTGAGCATTAAGGAATTAAGAGGTGGAGCAGTAACACGATCAGCCCAGGAATGATCATCACCAAAATCAGATGAACGAGCTGAATCTTTCTTTTGTTGATATTGTACTTATTTAGAAAAATCAGTTCTAAATGAACTAATACCACTATCACTATTATATTCATCAGCAACAACAGGAATAACTTTATCGACGCCAACATCATCCCATTTATGATCTTCATCATTGTCATCGTCATTATCACTTGTTATGGTTTTTGCAACTGTTAATTGTTCAATACGAGCATCAACTTTGCTTTTAAATGGAATGATTTTTCTTTGTCGAATGCGATTAGGACTTGCTGATAAATCATAAATTTCTTCATGTTTATTATCATTTTCTTCTTCATGATAATGAATTAATCGATTAACAAATATATCAGCTGTTTTAGATGATTGATGATCCTAAAATAAAGGATTTTTTGTTAAGAATAGAATATATTCGATAATCACGTGAAATAAAAATTAAAAGAAAGAAGGAATTTTATTGGACGATTATATGTCACACTCACTTTGCAGATAATGTTCTCCTGAAAATAATACTAAGGCATATTAAAGAAAAGTTTTTTTTAGTAACACGTTACTTCGTGATAGCGATTTGCACAACGCCTTTTCGCATCCGGACCTGAATAACAGTACTCGGCACCCGATCGAAAGTAATTGACATCCAGCAAGAGTTTTCATTGTCGTACTATGCTTTCATATTATGAAATATACTGTAGTTGTTGATGTCGTTAATTACCGGGTCAGGTTTCGGTATGAGATTATGCCCGAAGCCGAATCGAAAATTTTTTTCTTACCCGATATCTGAACCGACCCTGGCTTTGCATCGGCGACCCAGTTGCCGGACACTACTTCATGATACTGAATGCTTCACATGTTATTTAGATCTTAACTATCACTGCACCTAGTACAACCCTTCAGAAATATAGCAGAGCCGTGTAAGCGAATCGAGACAGGAAATATTGAATCTGGTGCTAACTTTTCTGACGTCAAAAATTCCGTATATTGAGAACATTGCGATTGACTTTTTGGGACTTTGCTAGTACTTTAGAGGAAATATTTTTTTTACCAAAAGATGCAGCTTTTCGCACTGTATAAGAATATGTAAAGAAAAGTCTAGGCACTTATAAACTAACTGTAGTGCAAAAGCAAAATATAGAAAAATCAGCGTGTTAAAGATATGAAAAGATTGTCGATTCCATGTCTTTTGACGACAATTTCTTTTCTTTCATTCGGACAATAGTTTCTATGAAATACATAGTTTTGTAGAGCATCTTCTGCTCTATCTAATGATATAACTTGATAAAATGTTCGATAAATTTTTTGTGATCGAAAATTTTATAAATGAATACGAAGCAAATCTCGAGAACTGAGGGAAAGTGATATATGGGCCGAAAAAGTTGGGTCGGCAAAATTTTCGAAGGCTTCATTCAAAATTCGTAAAAATTTGGTTTTCGGCCTAACTTTTAATGCTCTTTCAAACTAACTATCTAATTTGAAAAAGTAAATTTTTTCAGCAACTGACTTGGGTGGTGGCCTCGTGGACGCTCTCTTAAGTTATATTCAAAATATCAAAAACTCTAAAATAGATTTAGGCAT